TCGAGTGAATGTTTGGCTCAATTCAGCCTGAGCAACAAGAGCAACAGCAGCCGTATCACGACCATTTCGATGATATATTTGGAGAGTCCCTGCCGGAGGTTCAGCAACCGACGCAGCAGCAACAGCCGGCCCCGGAGGTCCCGGATCCAGGCCACCCGGCCTCTGTATCCGCCCGTGCCAGACCGACATCTGCCATATTCAAACAACATTACACGAAGGTGGCCAATCCGACAAGAGGTGAGAATCACTTTTATGCTGTTTGCAACTACTGCCCGACGAACGAGAAAAAGTCGTACCATTTCAAAAAAGGCAACGGGTACAGATCGTTGAAACGACACTTAGAGAGGAATCATCCGACAAAATTGGGAATTGACAGGGCACAGACGCAACTCCCGAGTAGTAGCGCTGCATCTTCCACGATTGGTACAGGTACGCCATCTTTATTTCAGTACTCACATAAAAATCATCGACTCCATTTAGCTGAATTTTTTTCTGCTTCATCTCTTCCGTTTAGCTTTGGTGATAGTGATTTATATGAACATTTTGCTCAAATGGCTTTGAATCCGGCTGCCCACCGGGTTCCACGTACTACTCTTACTCGCGATATTCGAAAAATAGTGGCAGAAGAAAAAGTAATTTTGCAAGAAACTTTTAAATCTTTAAATCATAGAGTATCCATTTGTGCTGATATCTGGTCTGATCATTGGCAAAATAATTTCTATTTGGGAATTACTTGTCATTGGATAGATGAAAATTGGAGTTTATAAAAACGTTTAATTGCTTATGTTGCATTTCATGAACGACACATTGATTCTAATATTGCTCGTTTAATTTCAAAAATTTTGGATAAATATCAAATAGATAAAAAAGTGTTTTCCATTTCGTTTGATAATGCCACTGCAAATACTGCATCTATACGTGAACTTACCGATATAGCATTTCTTCCTTTTCTATGCCCTTTCAAGAAATGAATCACCTCATTGGCAATTATTACATTGTCTAGAATTTGCCTATCCTTGACAAAGGCAGATTGGTTTTTACTAATGCAAATAGGGAGGCAGGGTTTTAGTCTATTTGCCAGGATTTTTGAAACCACTTTGTAGACCACATTACACAAACTGATGGGTCTATATTGAGCCACAGTGGAAGGGTTAGCACATTTTAGGGATCAGAGTTATGAGAGAATGATTTATGCTTTTTAACATAGATCCAGAGCTAAAAAAACTAAGAACTGATTCACAAAGGTCATGACTCACAATACTCCAAAAAGATTGAAAGAATAGGGATGTCATACCATCAGGTCCAGGGGCCTTAAGAGGATTAATGCTGAAAGAGCTTCTCTGATTTCTTCTGAGTTCACTTGTGCCACCAGGTCTTAATTAATTTCAGAGGGAATGACTGCCTCAATGCCTTGTAATAGCATGTCTCCTGACTGAACTCCTTCTGATGTGAATAGCAGGGAGAAGAATTCTTCTATGCAGAGGGCAATCTCATCCTTACTATCACATATAGTGTTATTGTCCTTAATTAGTCTGAGAATTTTGTTCCTCCTCCTCCTCTGCATTGTCTGAGCATGAAAGAACTTAGAATTCTTGTCTCCAAATTTCAGCCAGGTGATTCTAGACTTTTGACAGCATGTCCTAATGGTTCCAGTCTCTCAAGCCACCCTCCTCTCTCATCTGTGTAAGTTTCCTATTCAAGCTCTCAATCTTCTTAGCATTCTGAGAAGTGAAGGAAGAGCTCCATTTCAGTAACTCTACTCTGGTATGCTTGATTTTGGACGGCAGGCAAAACATTGGTGTTCCAAGTTGTTCTCTGTTCCAAGCATTTGAGATAACCTTCTTAATCTCTGGCCTATCCAACCATCTTTTATCAAAATTAAATCTCTTTTTTTTGATGAGTAGGGTCTTGGGCACTGCAAAGTAGTAACATACTGTGGTCTGATGCACTCCTGAAAATGTTATGGACTAGGCACCCGCACCTCTACAATTCCACACCGCAGCCTTCATTTGGGGGGGGGGGGGGGGNGCTGGCCACTAACACCTCCTCTCTATTAGTTTTCAACTTCTTCATTTGGCTCTCTCAAATTCCTCAGCCTCTTCTTCATTATCATGGATTATCAATGCTCCAGCATGTTGTCTTTTCTTTCTTGATGGTCTCTCAGGAGTAGATTTGGTTAAGCTACTAGTAGTGTGAGGTATCCTTTTCCATTCTTTTCTTTTCCCAAGACTACTCTCTTCTAATGCTTATTGAGTGTGGAGTCTCCCTCAGTAGTTAGAGCAGGATCAACTGTCATGGGAGCAATTGTCTCAAAAGGGTCTTTGGGTTCTTTTGAAGTGTGGGCATTTTGTTGTTTGGTTGAATTCAACTGGTTTTTTGGCACAGGTTTTGGAGATGTTGTTGTGGCTGGTGTGGTGTACTGATTAGTGGTATTGGGGTCTGGTACAAAGTTGGATATGGCTAGAGGTAGGATTGAGGAATCATTTTCTCTGGGATTGCTGTTACTCTGTTTGCTTACGTTAGGGGATTGGTTTGGAGTTGCGTTTTGGTTTGAGATGGAGCGGTTAGGGGATGTTGGGAAATATAGATCACTTGCCTTGAGCCAATCTCCGTACCTTCCTTCCAAGATTTTCCCTTCTGCAATATCTGTTCCTCTTTTGGTGCAACTTCTATCTAAGTGCCCAATACATCCACAGTAAAAACAAAGGCTTACTACTCTCTCTCTCTCTCTCTCTCTCTCTCTCTCTCTCTCTCTCTCTCTCTCACACACACACACACACACAGAGACGCACACATATACACCACACCACCTCCGATGGCAAGCCGTCAGATCTGCCCAGCGGTGCCGTCCGCTTTCGTTTTCACCGATGGCCGCCGGACCGTACCACTTCCGTCAAGGAGGCCAGAACACCGTCCGGTGTTGCTAAACCAGAACCGACCGTCGCACAGGTCCGCCGCGCAAGTCCCGCCGTCTCCGTCATCATCCCGGCCCGCTCGAGCAGAGATGGCGTCGCGAGGTGAAGTCTCACCAGTAGCTCGACGACCATCTCGTCGTCTGACATGGCGGGGCGACCACTCCTCGTCGGCGCTCGTGGCCGCCGTCAAAATCTCGCCGCCGCTACCATCATCTTCCTCCTCAGCCGCCACGTCAAATTCCAACGCTGCTCACTCCGCTGCCGCCGCCATCCAGATCTCATGTCCGGCGAGGCGGCTATCTCCTCTTTCTCAGCCGCCGTCAGCCTAGGCCAGAGAATGGAAACAAACTGCACATGAATTAGGGATTTGGAAATTGTAGGGATAGGACTAATTTTTGAAAATTAGATATAATCAAGGGACTTAATTGTAAATTAAGAAATTTGAAATATATTGATTGATAGGTTAAATTTGTAAATCAATAAAAATATGGTGATAGTTGCACAACTATGTTATGTGCAATGCACCTCATCGCGTTCGGATTCGCACCTCATCGAGTTCGGATTTGCACATTAAAAATAGCATTATACATACTGCACCATATTGTTATACAAGTCGCACTTTAGTTCACGTCCTATTGCACTTTATCGCAAACAGTGCATTTGCATTTTAATTTATTTTTCTTTAATTTCTATTATCCACCATCATCCCTCATTAAATAATAATTTATTTAAATAAAGTTAATTTAATGTACTATTATATCTACTAAAATAAGTTTTCAAAAAACAAATAATTTATATGTGATCATATAAAGCAGTGCACTGTATATATCAACACGTTGCACATTATAAAACAACATGTTGCAATTTATAAAACAACACGTTGCACATTATATTTATATATAATTAATTCAGCCAAATTTGATATGAGAAAAAGTGTGTTGCTTTTAAAGACCAATATATATTTTTCTTTTAATCAATATCATTTGGAAGTTACTAAGTTAGCAATTAGTTAAACAATGTACTATAACATGGGAAATTTCGGACGTATTCGGGGTCTAGTAATCACTAAATTTACCAGAAAAGAATATAAAAGTATATTAAAAATACTAAATATACTTCTATAATAATAAATAATAAAATATTTTAAACTATTTCGGTTAACTCGATGATTATACCTACTAAAACTAGTTTTCAAATACACATTTATATGAGATTATATAAAGTATTGTATTTTATATTACTACACGCGCACTTTATAAAACACCACGTTGCACTTTATAACACAAAATGTTGCACTTTATAAAACAACACGGTGCACTTTATCATCACACTCCACAATTAACGTCAATATTGTTTTCAAGATAAAAATATATCAAAAATACTAAATATACTTTTATAATAATAAATAATAAAATATTTCATATTATTTTGGTTAATTCGATGTACAATTATATCTATTAAAACTAGTTTCGAACGCATAATTTATATGAGATTATATAAAGTATTGCATTTTATATAACAGCACGCGCACTTTATAAAACATCACGTTGCACTTTATAACACAACATGTTGCATTATATAAAACAACACGGTGCACTTTATAAAATTTTCGGTTCGACTATTTTTATTTTTGTTACGTTTAAAAATACTTGAATTCAATTTGATGTTAATTTTTTTTAATTAATTAAATAGTCAAACTAACTAAATGTCTAAATTATAAAAACATATTGTTGTTATTTTCATTTTTCTATAAAAATATAGTTAGTTTCAACAATGAAAATATAAAAGTATTAAAATACTAATTATATTTTGATTAATTACGAATATGACCCGTGAACCAAATCGTAATATATTAGAAATAATACAATTTTCATTCAGCCCATAGAACTTTTGTTAAATCACCAATTTGCCACATGTACCAAATTGAAATAAATTATAACTTCAAAAAAATTGCAATTTGACCCCCTTAAACATATCAAATTCTCCAACTAAAGCCCCACAATCCAAAAATCAATCTACGAATCAGAAAATCTCAGCCCACAAATCGATTCTCCTCCGGACGGCGGCGTTCTCAAAGTCCATCTTCTAAATCGTCGCAAATCGCCGGAGAATATATTGTTCTAGGTCTTCTGTGGCGCGGCGAGCGGCGGGGGTTGGCTGAAGTGCGGTGGGTGATGGTGACAGATAATTGGATCTGGACGGTCGTCGGAGATATTTCGAGTGGGTATACCAATCTGTGGTGCGTCGAACGGCGATGGAAGTTTGAAGCGTGACAGACGTCGGGGCCGGTAACGGTGGCGGGGGTGGGGAGCCGTCTTGCATAGCCTTCGTCCGCCGGCTCGCCGCCTCGTCTCTGTCAGTCTGGATTGCTGATTTGACGGCGGCGATTGGGCTGGGTGGCACGGTGGCTGGGATGGGGAGCCGCGGTGGCTGGGATGAGGAGTCGCAACGGCTGAGATTGGGATCTGCGATGGCGAGTTGGACGTGCGCGACGGCCGGTCGGTGATGGTGGTTGGGGATGGTGGCGACGGGTCGGACGGAGGCGACGGGCGGTGGTGTGCGCTGTGGTGCCGCCGGTTGTGCGTGTGTGTGTGTGAACTGTGTAAGTCGTGAAACGAAAACAGATCTTGTGTGTGTAATTGTGTGTGTGAGTGGGGAAAGGATGGGTTAGTGGTGGGGCCCACTTACTTATGTAAAACTGAAACTACAAAAGTGCCCTATGAGGTCTCCATTTGACCATGAAATGTGCATATATTTACAACTATGTCATTGTGTTTTGACAAGAATTATTAATGTTTGACTTCATCATGTTCATTAATATCGTTGATCCAATGGTCCAGACTCATTCTCATTTATCGCATTAAGAGTCATTCTCATATGATCATTTCTCTCTCTCTCTCTCTCTCTCTATATATATATATATATATTTATTTATTACTAAATAAGATTTTTTCTAATTTTATTCTTTACCATCCCTGATAGTATTTTATTTTTATTTTATATAATGTGATATTAATAATTGATCCAAGTAAGGTAGTATCATTTGAGATATGATATCTAAAAACTTTTTATAATTATCGAAATGTTCATTTAAATTTTCTTTTTAAGACTATTAAAAATCTCTAAATATAGATTTGAGATTTTAAAAAATAGTACAAATTCATGAGTTATTTAACTTATTCTAGACTGTGATTTGTTAACACATTTTAATACTTGTTGAGATTGT